GGGGGCGCCACAGGGCTGCTCCCGAGGGGGAGCAGCTAAACAGAGCAGCCCCAACAGCCACAGTCACTGCCCCACGGGGAGCTCCAAGGTCAGGACTCAGGATGCAAACTCAGCCTGGGCAGTCTGGTCAGGCACTTGACTGGCAGCCACGGCTCGGTTGCAGGCCCTACCTGAGCCATGGCTGTGTGTGCAGTGGCTCACAGCTGTGATTTCCATGGGATACATCTACTTTTCAAACTCATGCCACCCATCCAGTGGCTTTTCCCAGTGGTTTAGAGATTTAGTCATGTGGGAGCTTGGGATGGCTCAAATAAAAATAGTGATTTGAGCTGGTGGTGCTGCAGGCCTACGTCTACAAGGTAAAGGAGGAGGATGCAAGTTTGAGCCTCGCCTGGGCAATTCGCCAACTTAACCACAACCTGTCTCAAAATTTCCAAATTTTGAACATTTTAACTGACATGCTGGGCTAAGGTTGTAAGTACTGAGATGGGCCATCTGGCCAGGGTGCATGGTACCCACATCTGTGTTCTCCCCAGTGTACGGTAAAGTCCCAGAAAGGCCTCGTCTCCTTGCCCCTCACCATGTCCCTGATCCTTGCATTCTTAGTTTTTTGGTTTTCTGAGATGAAGTCTCACTAGGTAAACCAGGCTGGCCCAGAACCCCCTGCCGCATCCTCCAGAGGCGCACGCCACCAGGCCCAGCCATCCTTGTATCCTTGCCGTTATTCTTACTTTCTTTGCAGTGACCTACAGTGCTTTTCACATTTATTCATTCATTCATTTGAAAGTTCATTCATTCATTCATTTGAAAACTTAATGAACCCCTTGTTCATTAAGAGCCGTGTATTCGGTAAGCTCAGGTCCACTGCTAAGCAAGACATGCAGGAAGCTTGCCTGCCCACCCAGAATGGCAAGAAGCAGGCGAAGCAGAAGTGGGGATGGGGAGTGTGGGCCTGATCACGGCCCCAGCTAGGTCCCAGGAACAGGAGCCTTCGTGTTGACTTCGGAGAAGGCCAACACCTCGCTGGCACCCTACGTGAGTATAGTAACACAATTACTCAGTTGTCTCAAAGCAAAAGGCATGTCTGATGAAAGAGCACATGCTGGCAGAAGAGAAGGAAATTCTGCTTCCTTTGTGTGGACTAAGCTGGTAGAGGTGGCTTTGGCTACTTGTGAGTCCCTGGAAGGTGTGGGAATCTGATCTGGAGGCAGCGAGGAACCTGGGCTCTGGTCCTCCATTCCTCGGCACACTGGGCCACAGAAGGAGCCTGGGGCTCTGGGACTCAACGCCAGCCACATGTCATGTCTACGGACCCCACCATGCATTCTCGGGCTTTTTGCTTGTGGTTTTGTCTTGCTTTGTTTTTGAGATAGGGTCCTGCTAACCTGCCAGGCTGGCCTCTAACTCTCACGATCCTCCGGCCGCAGCCTCCCGCAGGCATGGCTCACTGAGTGCACACACGCCCCTGGCTGTCCTGTGGCCTCCTAACTCTCTCCCTCCTGCACAGTGCTCTCACTTCCCTCCTTACCCGGCTCCAGTCCGGTGCTGGAGTATTGAGTGTGTCCCCTCATCTCTGTCACAAGACCTGAGAGCTACAAACAGTGATGCCTAAGTGTAAGAGAAATCGTATTACCACCTCAGATAACTTTAGACAGGACTAACATGCACGTCAAATTTCTTTGCGGTCAGCTGCAACTAAAGCAATTTGTCGTGGCACTTTAGCCAAGCATCTTATCAGGTATATATTTAGGAAAATTTGGAAGTTAATACCAGAATGCCACATAAGGCCACGGTGAACAGTAGATGCAATTAGTGCTTCCACACACACTCATAACAAACTCACACATTCACACCCATGCACAATCAAATCGGTCATACACTTGTATACAAGCACCTACTTTATAAACGGGCATCTTGGAATCCTTCTGTTCTCTACATAGAATCCTCATTTTTAAAAATCCTTCAAATGAGTTTGGTACCCACTGTGGCAGGAGGCCCTACCTCAAAAGAGTGGTAAGCTGTAACAGGTTGAGGTACTGCCTAATCCGGTGCTAGAGTGCTCCCCTGGCATGTGCAAGGGCTTGGGGCTGATCCTCAGTGCCACAGTTTTTAAAAAATTCTATCACTGCTGTAGTGATGTTATACTCAGCCAAGATTATTTAAGGTAGTATATATACAGAAGAATTCTTAAAAATTTTAAATAATTATGCATCCACTTTAAGGTGTATTTTTAAATACAGTTTATCATATCATCACCTCACAGAAATTACTTCACATGTAAATAAATTTTAAAAAGTGAGTTGATAAAAAAAATACAGAGTTGATTATAATGCGTAAGGTTCTGGAATTCAACAAAAACAACATAGGTGCTAAAGAATGAGTGTGATTTAAGTAGAAAATTCACAGATGATTTAGGAGGGCCCAGAAAATCATGCAACGCTCAGCCTAAAGAACCCTGCACACAGCACTCCGCGTGCGGCTCCACTCCTCGGGCAGTGGCAGAGGACAAAGGGGTGCTGGAGCCTGCGGCCCCTCGGGAAACCCAGCCATACGGTTTCTCAGCAGAATACTTCGGGCTCTCGGCCCATCTGAGCTGAACGTGATCCTGGCTTCTGCAGGTCACAGCTCGCAGGCACTGGGAACACCCATAAATCCTCCCGTCAGGGCAGGAACGTTTCCCTAGAAAGTCACCCAGATCTGACAGCCCGGCTTTCCTGAGCTACGCGTCGCTTCTTCTTAACATCCCACCCAGGAGCCCACGGAACCGAACTTCAAGACTGAACGCGGATTTATATGCATCTTAAAAGAAGAAACGAAGCCGGACACGGCACGCACGCCTGTAGCCACAGCTCTCTGCAAGGCTGACGCAGGAGGACCTGGAGTTTAAGCCAATTCAGCCTCTTACTGAGGCCCTGCGCCAAACGAACAGCTGAGGACGCAGCTCGGACTGAAGGCCCTGGCACACACACACACGCACATACACACACGCACACACATACATGCACGCACACACATACATGCACACACACACATACATGCACACACACACACATACATATGCACGCACACACACACGCACACGCACACACACTCATACAGATTTTTTTCGGTACTGAGGCCTGCCTCTCTGGCCACGGAGCCACCCCAGCTGCCAGGCAGCACACAGCCCCTGGTACTCAGGGCTCCGCACTCCTGCTCCACGCTCACGGCCTCCTCCGTGGCCACGCCAGAGCCCCGTTCCCTGCTCTCGGGGGCTGCGCCACCCTCTCCGGGATCCCAGGCTTCGCCCAGGGCCTAGCTCGAGGGCTGCAAAGGCAGGGGAGGGGGTGGAGGGCAAGGAGGAAACAGGGGCCCCCCCAGGGCTCCCGCGGGCTCCCGGAAAAGCGAGGCCCACTCCCACGCCTGCAGCGTCCCAGCGGATGCGGGGTTGTTCCAGGTCTGTCGTGGAGACCCGGCAGGCGGCCTGGGACTTGCTGCCCTCCGCCCCTAGGTCCGCTCACACCTTCCCACCCTGGGCGGGAGGCCACGCCCCCCCGGCAGGGGGCAGCACTGCGCCCTGAGGCCGCAGTCCCCACCCGGGCAGAGCCGCCCCACCGCGGGCCTCCTGCGGCCTCAGCCTGGCTCTGCCTCGGTTTGTTATCCATAAATCGATACATTAGTAATATAAACCAGCGGAAATGTGTGAAGAGAATATAAAACGAGACATCAAGAGTACTTGGCACTTAGCATGCATTTGATAAACAATAGCTCTTGCTTTTGTTATGGCGCTTATTATTTTTAACAAGCAGAAGAGTTGTTCGTGTTGAGGAGAACCTTAGAACCTCTATCTCCTGACTCCCCCCTCCATGCCCTTCAGACTCTTCCGGTTCCTCCTGTGGGCCAAGGCTGTGAAGATGCGGTTGGGGAAGGGCTGAAGTTTCTTGGAAGTTAGTTGTTTCATACTCAGTCTCACCCATCACTGGTACACTGAGTGGATCAGATGTGCTGTTGGGGGGGGGGGGTACCAAGAATCTAACCCACGACCTCCTGTTTGCCAGGCAGGCGTTTGTGCCTCTGAGCTAACCCCTGGCCCCAGATGTACTTTTAAGCTATTCCTTAATATAATCGTGTCTGTTCTAATACAGAATGCACTAGTTCAAATGTTTAGTTTCTGTCCAAAAAATGTTGAATAAAACTTGATGTCCCACAGAGATTCACCCCATTTCTCTCCCAGAACAGGCCTGGGGTACAGATACCTCATGCTTGTGTGACTGGAGGCCCCTTCCAGAAAGATCAGGCGGGCATGCAGTCATTCAACACATTGTCAGATAGCTAGAAAACATATGTCTTGGGGAAGACGAGTGGCCCGGGCATGCAGGACCCCAGCACAGAGCCCTCTCTCTGTACTCTAGAAGCTGGGCACATCTCATTATCACACTGCATCATCTGTCTGTGGCCGGCATTTCCCAGGCTCCCCCAGCTGCTGAGACCGGGGCAGATCTTCCTGTGAGTCCCCACCACGTTTCTCGCAGTTAGGGTCTGATTATGGCTGTACATTTGCAAACTCCACGTCTTCCCCGCGAGGTTCTAATGCCGGTGTAAGTCAGCGGACACCAGAGCTCCCGGGGCCTCTTCTAGTGCCTTGAATGTACCTGCTCTTCCCCCTCTGCCTCTCTACAGCCCTTTCCTCTCTCCCTGCCCGTCCCTTGTTTCTATTAATGAAGTGTTGGTACATTGAGATAGACATAATGGTCACATTCATCACAGGGAATTTGCCCCTGGACATGATACACCTTGATTCTTTTTTCCCATCCCTCTCCCCTCCCTTCAATCCCACTCCCCTCCTTATTTACAAAGCTTTGTTTTCATTTTTTCTTCTTTCCTATTTTTTCTTTCCCCTTTGTTCCTTTCTTTCTCCCGAGTTCCCATTCCCATTTGAACATTTCCTATTTCACAATATGTATCATGCATTTTGGTCCTTATTTATACTTTGTATTTCTCACATCAAAGAAACAATGTGATATTTACACACGTATGACCAATTTATTTCACTTGAGTATTATCTCAAGGTGCATCCGTTTAGCTAGAAATGTCTTAAGCTTATCCTTCTTTTTGGCAGAGTAGTACTCCATCATATTAAAAAAAAACAACGTGTCTTCTTCATCCATTCCTCGGTTGATGCACATTTGTGCTTTCCCTTCCTCTTCTCTCTTTGATTACTCCCATTTGTGAAGTGAATGTGGCAGTGGCGGGAAGACCTGGCTTAGCTTCACTTTGCACAAACCTGGTCATGAAGGGAAAAAAAAAGCTGTGTGGACAGGATAGTTGCTTCTGGTCTAAGACATCTTCAGATGAGCAGAATGATCAAGTTGTGGCACAGCAAATCCAAGACATTTTGGCTCATCTTGGTGAATAATTCAATTAATTTGTATCCAATAATATCAGGACAGAGAAACTGATTAAGTCTCATTCTCCCTAACAGAAGCTTTTCAGCTACCCAAACATGGTGAGTTGAGGCACGCTGTGACATCACTGCTCGACCTACAGCTGCTTCATTTTGGGAAGCACTTAGCTTTCAACCCCCATTCCAACAGCCTTGTGGTTAGACTGGCTGCAAAAGAAATGAACAGTTTATAAAACGCAGTGAGAATTGTGGTATCAGGTGGCTCGGCAGACAGGAAAGCAGGTGTTGTTTGGCTCCCTCACACCACCTTTTTGCACCTCACAGTGTCCAGAAAGAGGGCAGGATGGATGCGCCCTACTGGCTCTGGTGCCCTGCAGCCTGAAGGACTCCTCCACCCCGCACTTGGGGGCTGAGGGCCCTGTACAGCACTACTGTAGGACTGGGGGGTAGGACTGGGGGTCGGAGAACCACCCTTGGACTTGATGTTCCAAGCCTCTCACTGTGACTGTGCATAATCCTGTCTCCTCATCTGTAAAGTGCAGATGGGGGTAGCATCTACTTCTCTGGAGTGTTAAGATGAAATGGGAGAAATTCCTACGTGTAAAGCACTCAGAACAGTGCCAGGCACCCGATACGTTTGCTGCAGTACGTAAATGACTGCACACAGATCACAGAGCACTCGAGTCCTGTCACGTGTGCACACACCTTAAAGGGGAGCGGCAAATGGGGCTGCCACCCTCAGTGACAAAGCCCGCCTCCCGGACGGCAGGAACTGCCCCCCCCCCCGCCACTGCCTAAGGTTCTGTGACTTCTCAAGCACACATGACAGTGTTCTGTGGAGAATCCCACCTCAGCAGGACACGCTGTCAACTTCCTTTATTTCTATTTCAAGGCAACATTGGTGGAAGTCAGGTAATTTCACAACATTTTGAATTATTTCTTGAGCTAGGGCATTTGATGGGGGTGAAGTTGAAACACCTACTATTTCTTTTAAAGTCTGGAAACCAGGGTGATTGCTTATTAATTATATTTTGTAGTATCATGGCATGCTGCACAAATAAAAACCTCTTTTCAAAGTCATTTTTAAGAAGAGTATTTGTTTCTTTTTCTGTGAAGCCATCTACCTTATATGATTGCTGGTTTCTTGACATGTGTCCTCTCATATCATGCTGGACCATAAACATTTTTGTACATTTTTCTAGGAAACACCTATGAAATAAGCACCTAGGAAATAAGCAAGATCTATACGTAGCAAAATATAGTCTTTTAGATTTTAAAAAGAAATTTATAGTTGGCTAAAACCAACATTTTTGGTGTTATTAGTAAAAACAGATATGAAAACACATGATGGTATTTGATTGCAGGCTGGATTGTAATGAGTAATCTAGCCCATTTTTGCATTTAAAAATTTTTTTTAAACAGAAAAAAGTAAGAAATAACAACAAGACAGTTTCAGAACAGTCTAGTAACAACAATCAACACAGTGCAGATTGCTCACAGCAGTTGTTCAGACACAGACATGAAACACCACGCAGGGAGCTACTAGCACCAAACCTTCCCCTCGGTGAAGCAAGGGAAAACAGCTGAATAACTATCTGAACTGTCTTGTGTTTCCATATATTTTTTCCCTTTCCCTTCCTTTCTCCCATCACAATTTTTCTTTTGCTTGAAGAGCTTCAACATCACTGGTCATTCAAGAGATGCAAATTACAACACTGAGATTCCATCACACTCCAAAAAGAATAGCTATTATCAAGCAATCAACCAATAGCACATATCGGCAGGGCTGTCAGGAAAAAAGGAATCCTTTTCCACTGCTGGTGGGAGTATAGACTGGTGCAATCACTGTGGAAATCAGTATGGAGATTCCTCAAGAAACTAGAATTTCTTGAGGTCCTACTCAACCAAGGTTTTCCCCTTCTTAATATCTTCCCAGAAGAATTAAAAGCATCATACCACAGCACTATATTCTCCCCCATTTTTATAGCAGCACAATTTGTAATTATCTAAATCTTGGAAGCAACCCAAATGCGCATTAACTGAAGAATGGATAAAAAAAGCTGTGGGTTTATATGGAATATTACTTGACCATAAAAAGCTCGAGTGAATGGATGCTGAAATAAACGACCCGCAGGTGCAAATGTGGTATTATCCCACTAGTGTGAGAATCTGGAAGAGTAAACAAAATCCAAACTGTGTAATGGATATTGTGAGTAGGAGAGAAACTCCATTTTCTCATTTCATTAACTTGTGAATTGGGTAAATGAAACTTTCCCCCATAATCTTCAGTACTGTTTGGCAGATAAGTCAAGGCATTACAGAAGGACGCAGTTTTCCACCTTTCTCAGTTATGAAACAGACGGTCCTGCGACTGCCTGTGTTCACAGCTCTGGTCACCTTGCCTGCCGGCCTCAGGACTGCAAACTGCTGGCCGCGCCTGGCTGCTGGAAGCCTGGCGGGGAGCTGGCCTCCCTCCCCAGTCCTTTCCACAGGCCACTGCACAGGTCCGGGAGCTGCACGGCCCTGGCTCCCTGGGCAATGGAACTGGTACCCCCCTGCTAACTTTAATTTCTCTGGGCAACAATTAGCGACTGGATGTAAACTCAGTAGGGGTTCGGACACCTTGAGTGGTACAGAAAGCTTCCTGCAGAGGCGGAGGTCCAGGAAAGCCAGGAAACTGCGAGTTCCCAGAGACAGCCAGGCAGGAGGAAGGCTCCTGGCCAGCGCAGGGGAAGCCGTGAGGCATAGGCACAGAGACTTAATGTGCTTCAAGAAAGGACATGAGATTGGGTCCCCTCAGTGGGCTTTCTGTATTACGGGGTGATTTCACGGCCAGCCAGGGAATGCCGGCCTAATGCGTGCAGACACTTCACAAGTTCTGTGATACCGTGCTCCTTACAGTTACCTATACTGTCACTTTAATCATGTATACTGCTCCACTGTACACCACAATTCATTGATAACAACATGAGTGAGCATTTAGGGTTTCCCTGGATGTTTTACTGTTACAAACTTTGCTGATATGAATATTCTTGTGTGCGTTGTCACATGTGCATCATTTCCCTTCCCACGTGTCTAGTAGCTGGGTCAACTGACACGGTATCTTCAACTTACTTTCAGGTCAGATTATTTCCCAAGTGGTTGTAAAAATTTACACTCCCGCCACTAGTGAGAAAGAGATTCCCATTCCTTTTCTTTCGTGCTGACACTTGGTTTGGCTTTAGCTTTGTCAGTGTGTGCAGGGTGAAATGTTATCTCCAATTTTCATTTCCTTTATAGCATTTTGCAATTAGAGACTTTTGTTTGGTCACCTTTCTTTCTCCTTGTAGTTTGTGCTTTTAAGAAACAGTTCCGTCATCAGATTATAAAGATAGTCCATTTCCAGAAGCTTTATAGTTTTGCTTTCACACTTAATTAAGTCTCTAATCCCCCTGGAATCTCCATTTAGAGGTATGTTTGAAAATGCCCTTCTCTCCCGTAGGACAGCATTGTTTGGTAACTGTTAAAAGTGAAAAAGCCTAGTGTAATCTCTGTGGAATGTTTAAATGACTAATTCCATCTTTTTCATGGTCACAAAACCACTTAGGTTTGCTATTTTAGTTTTCAGTCAGTTTTATGATTTACACTTTTTCTCAGAATCTGTCCATTTTGCCTGCATTTTCCAACACACTGGCTAACGTAGCGATAGTACCCTCATCATGCTTTTAATGCATTTTTGCATCTATAATTGTTTCCTTTTCATTCTTAATAATGCTTTTAGGTATTCTCTGTGTTTTCGGTCTTTGTGAAAATTTGTAATTTATGTCTTTTCAAAAGCTAACTTTTAGCTTTGTTGATTCTCTTTATTTTCTACTTGCCTATTACGCTGATTTTATTTTAAAGAGCAAAACAATAAAAATGATACAAAATTTCAAAACAAGATAGTAACAATGGTTAAAACATTGCATATTATCTTCAAAGCAGTTGTTCATATTACAAGATATAGGCATGAAAACTTGATCAAACAAAACAAGCACAAACTTTTCAGTGAACTAATAGAAATTAGTAGTGTAACTATACACGTATGTATGTAACTCCTATGTATGTATATTTTTCCTTTTTTTTCCCCCCGTCCTGGTTCCTTTTCCCTTTTGAACAGTTTCTTCCCATTTCACAGTAGCTATTGTACATTTAAGACCTTCTTTACTCTCAATTTCTCACACAGATTTCATTCATTTATGTTCTCTTAAAATTTTTATGCTTTTATTTCTATTACTTCCCTTTCTATCCTGTTGTGCTAATTTCTCATACTTAACTTTTCCTCTAATACGTATTAGAAAGCATGAAGTTTTCAGTTATTATAACTTTTCATCTGTGTTTTGTCATCCACTTTCAGTTCTGTTATAATCTCTTATTTAACCTGTGAATTAAGTGAGTTTCTGTCTTATTCTTCAATGCATCTTAAAGATCAAATTTCTCTCAATTTTTATGACATACACTTATTCAGATCACCTTTGACATTCCATGTGGTTTTAAGTTTAGCATATTTGATTCTCTCAGTGACTTTACCTAAGATTCAGAATGATGTATAAAAATTAATAAAACTTGCTAAGCAGGTAAACATAATAAGCTTATTAATTTGAGTTTGAATTCTCTTAGCTGTTCCATTATCTGAAAAACACAGGTCGAACAACAAAATGCACACACAATAGCAGAACACACTGGCACACAAGAGTGTGGTTGTTAGTTTTAGAAATACCTTGCTTAACACTGGAAATGTATCCATACAAAGCAAGGCACTCTGTTACCTTCGTAAACCAGCAGCTATTCTCCGACCTCAGGACTTACAGTGTGCAGACTCAGGAGGATTCAAGTCACCTAGGAATCTATTAGAAATGCAGATTCCTTCCTCAACAACATCCTCCCGGTGACCTCTGAAGTTTGGAAACATGCTCTCCAATACTCAGTGCTGTGGGTGTGGAAGAAAGGGGTTCAGTGACAACTCTGAGTTTGGGTAAGAAGTGCTGGTTGGGGGCTGGGGATTTAGCTCAGCGGCATAAGCACCTGCCTTGTAAGCAGGCGGTCGTGAGTTCGATCCCTGGTACCGGTAAAAATGAAAAAGACAAAAAAAAAAAAAAAAAAAGAACTGCTGGTTGAAGAAACTCAAAATGCCAGGGAGCCCTAAACCAAGAGCTAAACCTGAAAAGGCAGCTCTCTCTGTGGAGAGCTTTGCCTCACGCCCCATATTTCCTGAACTCTGGGAGGCTGAGGATCCCAAGTTCAAGCCCAGCCTGGGCCGTTCAGCAACATAACAAGATCCTGTCTCAAAATCAAAAGGAGCTAGGAATGTAGCTCAGTGCAAAGGCCCTCAGTACCAGGAAAACATAAACCACTGTGTGGTATACCAGTTAGGCCTTCACATGAGACACCACCAGTCACCCAAGTTTCCTTTTCTTGCAACACAGGGCTTTCTCCCAAATTGTCCCAAGTATTTTAGCTGTTGTGAGTCTCAGGCTCTCTCTCTCTCTCTCTGTCTCTCTCTCTCTCTCTCCTCTCACGTTCTCCTTCTCTCCCGTGCTGGGCATTAAACCTGGGTCTCACATGCTAAGCACACACACTCTTGCACTGAGTGACACCCCGAGCCCCTTCATAATTCTAATGTGTCTCGGTGGTGTCCGTGCTAAGATGACTTCAGGTCACCCAGGAGGCTGGGGACAAAGAGCGTGAAGTAAGTGGTGACAAAGGCTGTGGCGGAGTCTGTCAGAAAGCGGAGGGAAGTTTCAGGCAATGTCCCTTCTCAGCGTGCCTCTTTCCTAGATCCACACCTCCGCCCTGAGAGCAGCCAGGAGGAAAGGGAAGTGGACGCAAGTAAGGAGGCTCCTCGGTCTGCCTGCGGCTGGAAGCTTCCCTTGCAGGGTCAGAACCGATTTCTTGTGGGCAGTGAGCCCGCGTGTGTCAGCCCTGCCTCTCCGCTGCAGGATGGGAACATTAAGGCAGCCACAGACTGCATTTCAGCCGCCCTTCTACCAGTGTTCAAGAAGACAGCACATGGCAAGATCTCTAAACTGTGTGCCCAGTGGCTTGGTATAACTACCTTCCCTTCAAGGAGAAAGACTGCTTCTTGGGACTACAGAAGCACTCTCCATGGATCAGTGCTTTTTTTTTTTTCATGTGGCCAGGTATGATGCATTGTAAGCAAATGGTAGAAAAAATGTTACAAGTTTCCACTGATAAGTTCCTTAAGTCATGCGTAAAGACAGACTTAGTAAAAAGTTTTCTTTATTTTTCTGTGGAACCAAGCACTTCTAGACTTTTTGTGCCTTCCAAATGTTAGTGCAGTCAGTGTCACCTTGTCAATTATCAAATAATGATCTAGCTCCCAATGGTGATGTCTGCATTTAGATTGTTCAGGTGGTCAGGAACTCTTCTGTTCCTGGTTATCTGTCCAAACAGGAAACCTCTAGGGGTTTCTGCTCCAAAGTACCTCCTACTTTTTTGGTAAGATTATATGTTATCTTGACTAAATAAAGCCTGTAGCCATCAAAGCAGTGAATTGAGTTGTGCTGAGTATTTCTGTAGGTCTGACCACGTCCACCAACTCAGCGTGAAACCAAAACCCATTTCATAATTGGCGCCTAGAAAAATAATGTTTTGAGGGCGGCCGGGTGGCTGTAGAGAGCTATGTTCCTCGGTCAGCTGGTGGTGGGGTAGGCAGCTGCTGCCCCTGCCCTGCTCACTGTGCCCACACCAGCCACAGCGCCTCCCAATCCTCTGCATCTCTGAGGCAGCATTTTTGGATTACAACTTTGTACCTGTCTCTGACCCTGTTATGAGAGTCTGAGTAAATTTTCCTTAATTTCAAGTCAGAATTGCAATCATGATTCCCTGGCTTGAGTTCTGGGGGTGCAGCTCAGAAGTAAGGCACCTGCCTTAGGCTTGACACTTAGCACTGCCAGGAGCGGGGAGAGGGGGTAACTTTCCTTACTGGAGGTCTAGCACATCCTGGAGTTCTTTGCTTCTAGAATCTTCCCATAATATTAGGTCACAATATTGCATATGACCCAAAGCTTGTTTCTCAATTTTGAGTGAGACAGAGAAACTGTCTACATTTTTTGCTTAGCAGTGAAGTTCTAATCTTTGTGTTGCTTCAATGGTCATTAGGAATCAAGAGAAAAGCTCCTGGAGAAAAGTTCAATGTTGGGAGACTCAGTGACTCCTGACTTCCGGCAGGTGGATAACTCTGCTGCCTGCATGAAAATGCTCACTCACCCACTGTCTGTCTGGCCTTGGATAGGTTAATTACTTTCTTTCTACTCCAGCTTTCATGGCTGTAAAGTGAGGCTAAGCATAGGAACTGCGCATGTCTCGGGGGGATGAGAATTAATGGGACACCAGCATCTGCTGTATTGGAAACATTCGATTTTAAGCTAAATTTATGAAATCATTCACACTGATTATAAAATCTCACAAATCCTCATTTTGGTATATAGGGTAGCTTACTTTTTCTCTCTCACAGTGCTGGGGATTAAACTCAGGGTCTCATGCATGCTAGGCAAGTGCTCCACAACTAAGTCACCTCCAGCCCTAGCTCAGCATTTTTTGGGCGTGTGGGGTACCAGGCATCAAACTCAGGACCTCATGCTTGCCAGGCAGGCGCTGTGCTGCTGAGCTGTGAGCTACATACCAGACCCGCAGCATTTTTTAAAAGGTGAAATTTCCAAGCACTTTACTGAAAACAAACTTTGCAGTGCTTAATTGTGGTGGATACCTCATACATGTCAAGAATGCCAGAGCCAACTGACCCAGGTTTTCTTTACCTGAATTCACTTCCGAGAGGAAAGAACAAATAGAGAATGGCTGACTCCTGGCAGCCTTTTTTCTTCTAGTGGCAGTTGGGATTTTTAATCTTCACATTCAGAATCATACTTGTCAATCACCCTCCTTCTAATTACATTTACCTGACATTCATTTTAAGAAAATAATTTGTTTGGTCCAAAGTGGTTGCATATTTATCCTCTGATTAGTTAAGAACCCCATAAAAAAAAAACCCCTCCTTCCAGCCTCTGTGAAGAAAGCAGCCGATTTCAGAGTAATTAGCCCTGGAGGTGCAGGTGTGTGAGACACCTGTCTCCTCGGCCTTGCCTTCCACGCCTACCGAGGGGCCACCCTTCATCAGTGAGTTAAAATAATTAACTTACCCTATTGGGAGCAAAACCCAAGGACCGCTGAGGGCAACAAGTCTCCTTTGCTCCCTTCTCTTAGATTGAACCTGAAAAATAAAAAGACTCATGGGTGGTCGACAAGCAGGCCAGGCAGAACCGACTTCCCTTTAGAAGAAAAAGAAAAGAAGACAAACCCAAGTGACAAGGAAGACATTGTCTCCCTCCCGCAGACTCAGGGACTTGCTTAAGTTTCGAATTCTGTGTTTGTTTTGTGACTGTGATTGCCGTGCCGTTCAGGAGCAGGGAAAGAGAAAGCCTATTTTAAGGGAGATTTATGTGAAGAAATAAAGCAATTGGGGAGGGTGATTTTTTCTGACCTGCCTTTTGTGAGTGTCTGCAATTTATATTAAATCTCAAAAACAGAGTCCTTCACAAGGGGAAATTGTGGAAAGTTGGGGGTTTTAAAAATGGGATAGTCCATAGCTAGGAAATCAAGACTACTTTTTTTTAAGTTTCAATGTGGCAATTTGATTCCATTTTGTCCTTTATATTTTGTGTATCAATTTGTTTCCTTGAGTTCCATTAAAATAGCTACTGTTGAATGTTATTTGGCATAACTAGAAAAGATTGGGAGGCCAGTTTTTAAAAAAATTTTGATAATTTCCCACACAAATTTAGGCATTTTTGAGTCTTTGATTGGAATGTAGGGTTTTTTTTGGGGGGAGGGAGATGTAAGGTTGCTATCAATGAGGGATGTGCTGAATTTAGAAGATGGTTTATATGTAAGCAAACTTGGGTGCATTCACGCCTCCCCACTTGTCTAAAGATAATTTAAGAAGGACTGGTCTAGTCAGGCTGGACTTCAATAAAAGCTTTTTTTTTTTTTTTTTTTTTTTTGACAATGCCCACTACATTGCAGACTGCAAGAAGCCAGGGGCTGACTGATGATTCCACCCATAATTCTGACCCAAAAATATCCCTTCTTCTAAAAATATATTTTTCTTATAATGCCTGATGTTTTTAAAAGTATTTTTCCCACTTGAGGGCAGGTCAGCCTTCCTAACACCCATCCTGGAGATGAGGCCACTAAATCATTAAGCAGAAGTGGCTGCAAAGAAGGGAGAGGGTCTGCTGATGGAAAGGACTTCGGTGGACTTAGGCAACTGGCCAAACAGAAAGTGGGAAACCTGGACTCCTGCACCCCTTCTAGCCCCGGAGTCCCCAGATCTGCGTGCTCCCAGAGCAAGGAAACTTCTACCCCCAGCTCCGAGGACCGCGTTACCGCCAGCGGCCAGCAGGTGCCAGAGCAAACCGTGCTCGAATCCAGCACGGTTAAATGATTTTAAACCATTTGAAAACGGCTTAAACTTTTCAATATTAATTCCAATATATTTGGCATTCAGGGTTTCATTAAAATACCAGAAATAATATAAAGACTTAGCTTCACTGTCAAACTAAACGCTAATAGTTTGCTGGCCTTTCCTTCCATTAGCAAACTGAGTTTTATTGTTTTGTTTCTTTCCTACTCCGTTTTCTTCGCAGGGCGCTATTTAGTCGAGAGAAGGGCTGGCTCACTGCTCATCTGAGCTGCGTTCTGGTTGAGGAACTCTGCCGTCGCTAGTGGGTATCTAAGTCCAGAATGTCTTCAGAAAGGCGCTCACCTCGAGGCCCGGTTCCTGGCCTTTTGCTGGTCTGGGGGTTCTACGTCCTGCTCCCCCAAGCTCAGACCTCTGCCAGCAGGTGTGGAGAGCCTCCCTCCACTGCTCAGCGCCACAGATCTGTAAACTGGGAGCTCCCCAAACTCCTTTGTCTGACGTTTGCTTCAGCTGTTTCTACCAGTCCTTGGCAAGCTCCAATAATAATTGATTAAAAAGGATTTTCAGGGCTGAAGATACTGAAGGAGCTCTTGCTTGGCGCACTAAGGCCCTGGGTTTACTCTCCAGCCACACACACAAAAACGCACGTGCACATGCAATGGGGAGGCTGCCCATCCAACATCTGCAGAAAATTTTACCTGAAATACAATCTTATATATGCTATTGCACCCATACATATATTTTAATTTCCATAAGTAAATGTGTTGCCTTTGCATACATGTATAGATATTTACATATATTTGTTTATGTATCAAATCTCATTGCAGTGAATTTCACTGAATTATCCAACTCTATATTGTCTTAGAATTTTGCTGCCTCAAATGTCTTAATTAAATGAAAGCAAAAGGGTCATGAGATAGGCACTAGTGTACCACCTAGAAACTGAAGATGTTTTATCCAACTTGTATGTGTTTGTTCCCTTAGGTTTGAGACAGGCTCTCACTGTGTAACTCGGTGGGCTTTGACCTCATAGTCCTGCAGTGCAGAGGTTACAGGCATGTGCCACTGCATCCAGCTTTGAAGTTCAAGTTTTTGACATGACAGTGGCTATGTGTTCATGAGCATCTATAAATCAATGGATTAAAGAGAATAGCATGTTTAAAGTGTACACGTTAATATTTATTTATATTTGCTTTCTTTTTTTCACAAAAAATTTCAAATAGATTTCCAGAGTTACAAGTTATAAATATTTTAGCTACAAATATTTTAAGACATTTACCTGCTAAGGTTTAATTAACATAACTGATGCTTCTAGAATTACACAATATTTTTGCTGATTAAATAAAGGTAAATGTTTATAGTATAAAGTTAGTGATTTATCTGCACTGCCTTTCATTCACTTCAGTCATCACCTGAAGAAGGGGGCTAATTTAGCATATCTCAAATCCTGTTACAGCATTGTTGCTTTTCAAATAAATTCAAAGGAACCAAGCAATACAAGAGAATCTACCAGCAAGTTTGTTGATAGTAATTTTAGAAGTTATTTTGCTTTTCCCTGAAATTGCAAATTCCATTTCATATCCATAGTAAACCCTTTCTATGCTGAGTTTTCCCATGAACATGTGCACACACACCCAGGCATACACACACGTACACACACACACACAATTTCACATAGATCCTGACCATCTCCTCCTGGGCTGTTGGGTGGGAACACAATACTACACTTGACTAAAATTTGCTTAAAAATGCACTTTTTTTTTGCTCTTTCCAACGTTATGGTTTTTATAGATTAAGAGATGCAAGCTTTCTTTCCTGTTTCATCCTAAAAGCCCAAGGATCAATGCCAATTGGGGACTTAGATATCAAGGCAACTTTCCCAGCTGTGCTCTAACTGTTCTCTATTGTGCTCTCTACCATGAAGTTGGTATCGTTTTTCTGATTTCAGGGAAACCTATGCGAGCCATTAATTGTGTCTCATTATTAGTCCTGGCTCTTCTTTTCAATCCTGGTATGTGTGAATGCTTCAAGTAAAATACAACCGATAAACAAAACAGCAGTGTACTCCTTCATACATTGTTCATCCAGCAAAGAATAGAAGACTTCATATCGGCCACTGCACTGCAGGGCCTTCGGGGTGATTCATTTAAAAGGTCCTTGACGTAGTCTGCCACAGTGCCATTTCAAACCTGAATACTGGTGTAACATAATGAGAAGGGCAACAATTATGAATTCTTTCCATTAAATAGTACACAATTTTGTGTATCATTGCCCAATACTAACAGAATAAAAAGTGCTGCTATAGCAAAACTGGGGAGAAATTTAGAAAAATATATATATTGCCAGGAAAACTTCTGAACAGTTTATTAGTAAAGCAACATTTTGACCTGTCTTATCTGCAGCCTGGATTCAAAGTGAAGAATCAATGAGCTAGTATTTGAAGTATTTTCTAAATCTATGGTTTAAAATGCTAATTTTGATTGAAAATTTGATAAATGCTGTTTCCATATTGAAGCCAAGGGGATTAATTTCTAAATGATATAAATATTACTTATTCAGGGAATCTTTATAATCTCTAGAGGCAAACCATGACTATACAGGGCAAACTCTGCAACCTTTCACAGCTCTACCTTCAAAGTCACTTGGTCCTTTGTTCAGATGGAAGGACCACAGTATAAGAAATGTGAAGTCCATCAGTGATTGACTTCAGGCCTCTCTCAGTAACAGCCACCAGAATTGGAATACTTTTATTGGACAGCAATTTCTGAAAGAAAATACAATTGCATTGCAGAGAAAAGCTTCAAAAATGGCACAGAACATTAATTTCATATGATGAAATTTTAAAATTCCAATATTTAAATAAAATTCCAATAATCTTTAAAGATTTACCTGTGCTTACAGATGTTCATGTGATCAGTAGTTTCTCATTGTCAGGGTTTTGTGGTGACTCACAGCACTGTCTGCCCTCCATGCTTAGGGATCCACATCTGTGTCCAACCACGCATGGAACACATTCTAAAGAAATTACATCCCTCCTGAGTGTATATAGATTTATTTCTTGTAATCATGTTCTAAACCATAAAGTGTAACAACGATTTCCACAACACTTACATTGTATAAGGTATTATAAGTATGAAATTTAGAGGTGATTTAACACTACAAGAGGGTGTATATAGAAAATATGCAAATACTATGCTATTTCATGTAAGGAACTTGAGTATCCATAGGTTTGGGGGAGAGTCCTAGACTGATCTCATGGATGCTCAGGGGCAATTGCACTGAGCATTTGCGTGCATCAGCATGAATTTATTTTAATGCTATATAGGTCATACAGAGTGAAGTAAGTTTTATTCATTGCAAAAACACAGAAATTTTAAAAAGTGATCCCCAAAGATAACATTGTGATCGGAAGACATCTTTTGACAATTACCACTTGATTTTTGGTAACATATTCATTGTACAAAAAATAGTGGGTATTTGGGGAGACCCATGAACTGAAATCACACTTTCTTGTATTGAAAAAGGTTAATTAGGAATTGAGCTCAAAGTTAGGTTTTGAAGGTCAGCTGCTATGCTCGTGGGTCCTGTGACCCTGTCTCAAGTAATCACAGCATTAACGTACCAGTTATAGGCCTTCCTCTCACTTGATGACATAATCTCTTTAATTGGCGTTGGGAAGCCTGCGTGTGAAAGAGCCGTGGAAAACACCTAGAGACTATAATTTTACTCTCCCCATTCAGAGGGCAAAAGAAACAAGGCTTAAGAATGTACCAGAGACTCATTACAACCCAGGGCTGTCAACACAAAGCCCTCACAGTTTCCACCAAGGGTTTTAGGAGTGATCAATTCTGTTTAGTTCTAACTTTGGCTGGTGAACTATTAACCTTTTCAGAAGAACTGGCGAATGCTACATGTCAGATAATCTTCAGTGAGAAAGCTAAGAGGGTGGATAATGTGACTTAACTGATTAGACAGAAATGAGAAGATAATATTTGCAAA